GGCATGTCCATGTTGTGACCGGGCCAATGCGGCCAAAGGGTCGCCTGTGTCTTTTCAGTGTGTGTGTGTGTGTCTGAGGGGGTTGGGACAGGAAGTGCATGAACTTTGACAGGAAAGAGAAAGTGAACGGCATAAGAGCGATAGAGGGAGGGAGGGTTAGAGAAAGGGTAAAAGGGGGTGATGTGATGGAGAGAGCGAAGGGAGGGAGGAGGGAAAAGAGAGCAAGGCTTTAATGATGGAGGAGAAACAATGAGGGACGAGAAGAGAGAGGGGTCAGAAAAGGTTTAGACGGTCGACAACAGGGAAAATCTCACGGTGGGGAACAAGATAATGGAGGTCGGGAAAGAAAGTTCAGACGAGAGACAAAAGAAACGCCACCAGTTTCAGGCCTTTGGTTTCAGATCGGTTTCTTATCACATTAAATGGTTCTTCAACGTCTTCAATGTTATTATTGCTGAGGCTCGCTGCTCCCGTCCTTGTGCGTGGTGGTGCCATCCTTTTGGCCGGTGGTGCACATGCCAACTTTTCAACCCGTCATCTCAGAGTTTCTGCTGTGCAGGTGTCTAGATCACGCACGTGGATTTTTAAGTACGAGGAGTTTGTTAACAGGTTTTTATGTAAGTCTGGGCATGATGCATGTGCCCGCAGAATATGAGATGCTTAGATAAAACGTGGGCATGGGGGCTGGATGTCTCAAGACCTGAACCCTTGTCGAGCGTGTGAAGTCTGGGGCAGATCGGAGCCTGTGCTTTGTTCTTAATGTGTCAGGAGCCAAACATCACAGTTTCGACGATACGCTGTTGACGGCGAAAAACAAAATCCATTGAAGATTACTCTCGTACGTCTCTAGATCGAACACGGCGATTATGAAGCGAATCTGAGAGATTCCGTATGTGCTTCACGTGTTTCCGCACACGTTCAGCCTCTCAAAAAAATGCAGTTTAAGGTTAATTCAGTTTGACCTGCAGGACTTTCTGAAATCATGACAAGTGAAAATGTCTTTTCACTAAATGTCAGGGAAAATAATTGTTCAAGAGGAAACAGAGTGACTCAGTGAGCGGACTCGCAGACGACCAAACAAACTAAGATTTTGTTCTGCGGCCAAGACGCTGTTACACTGTCAGATGATTATGAGAAGATGAGAAAATTGCAGTTTAAGTCGACTGGCTATAAGAGCCGTTTTACTAATATTATTTTGCACGTCGCTCAGTAAGTTACCTCATAAAAATGTGAAAGATTACTTGAGGACAAAAGTGTAAAGTTGGCGTCCAGGGGAAGGGAGAGAGAGAATCAGCCACGGAGCGATAAGGAGCAAAGGGGTGAGGGTGGGGGAGGTCACAGGGAGGTTAAAGGGGCAAAAACAGGAAGAAGAGGATGAAAACAACACGGAGAGGTAGAGAGATTAGAAAGAGAGAGAGAGAGAGAGAGAGGGTGAGGAAGAAATGAAAGGGAGGGAGTAAGAGTAAAGGATGAGGGACGGAGGAGAAGGGAAAGGAGTGTTTTCTGTCTCAGTAAGGTGTTGAAAGGTCTGACCTCTGAAGGTTAGACACACACACACACCGACACAAACACACACAAACATGTATGCCGACACACGCACAATCAAACATACATGCTAACACACACACACACACACAGACACACACAGCAGCCGTTTTATCCATTAAAGCGTTGCAGCGGCGGGGTGATTGACAGCTCATTGGGCAGAGAAGTTGATTTACCATTAGAAGAGAAAAGCCCAGCGCGGTTGTCTGCACTGATCCGAGGGTACGACTGGAAAATCCCAGTCTGACACAGTCGGATTGTTAAATGTCGAGAATGACTCGTACGCACGCTGGCACACGCGCGCTACTCAACGGCTCCATTTATTTGTCTCGTGAACCTGGACGTGGAATCGCATTTGCAATCAGGGCCTCCTCATTTTCTTCTCCTCCCTCTCTGCCTCTTGTCGATCCTTCTCTTTTCCATGTTTAAAGCCCACAGTTTTTCCAGCCGCACAATACCCCTTTGTTTTGCCGGCACACGGACGGCACGCCGATGTGCGGACGGAGATGTTATGAGTGTAAACACGGGCCCGAAGCCCGACACGCTGGGGAGGGGAGAGGGAAACAGCAGCTGGTTCATCGCACCGGTCAGACCACAGATCTCACATAAAGACCGACAACGTATGACGGCTCCGCAAAAGTGAAACCAACTCATTCTGATCGCCCCCTGGTGGCTGGTGGTCATTTGAAGAAGTTCTTATCTCACAAATGTATCTTTGAGTTTTTATTTTCAGAAAATCAAAATAGTCCAGGGACTTTTGTTTCAGCCGATACCGATCTGAAACCGGTGCTTTTAAAATAAATCAGCCAGTAAGTGATAATTGCTATCATTGTTGTCCGGCCTGGCTCAGGTGAAACTCTTTTAAAAAAAACAAATACATGCAGAGAAAGAACCTTTAAATAGCTGGAGACTAAAATCTTGCGTACGACACATATCACTGTTTTACTTTTTGGACTTTCCATTTTGAAATATGACCGAATGCTGTTGCATTTGTTGTAGTACAGATGAACTGTAGATGATTTGATATCTGGGAAAAGAAAATTGCAGTTTTATCTGGGTGAAGACGTGGTATCTGATGAGTACACAGATTTGCGTCCTCTCTAGTGCCTGAGCCACCAGTTTTTGGCAGCACCAGGGTTGTTTCTGATGCTGGTATCGGAACATATCTATTTGTGATTGGTTGAGCACGTGAATCAGCGAGACCTCGATACCGCGGCTCCACACCATGATCGCTATCACACTTACCCGGAGGCGTTATGTTTTAGGGTCGTCCGTCCGTCCCATTACCAGTGAGCGCGATATCTCAAGAATGCTTTGAGGGAACTTTCCCAAATTTGGTGCAAATACTCACTTTGGTGGAACAGACTTCGATGGTCAAAGGTCACAGATTCAACTTTTGATCTGTTGTCACTTGGACTGTGATCACGTTTCAGTTGTCAAAGGTCACAGTGACCTTTATATGAATGTGGAAAATTGAGTATGTAGAAATATATACACAAACTGCACTGGTTGGCCGAGGCAGACGACCACAGTGCTGTAATTTGTTTCTTTATTTCCAGTCTTTTGTTTATTTTATTTTTGGCCTGGATTTTTTTTTTTTTCTGTTTCTGCCTCTTTTTCTTCTCCGGCTGTATTTCTTCTCACTTCTTCTCTTTTCTTCGTCTCCCCATTCCTCCACCGTTCATGTGTTGTTGCAGAGATCTCTCTCTCCCTCTCTCTTTCTCTCTCCATCTCTCTTTCTCTCTCTCTCTCTCTCAGTCCTGAGTTTCACCTCTGCGAGAGGCTCTCGGGGAGAGTGAGCTCTGTGTAATGAAGAGTTCATGGCCGTTTGATGCAGCTCGTTTGTTGAATACACATTGTTCAGCTGAGGGTCAAACTGGGAATTACAGAACACAGTTTTGTCACCTCACAACAACAAACTCTCGCGCTGCTCTGAAACACTGTGTTTGCTCGCATTTCTACCATCTACTTTGTGTTTTCAATGTACATTGTCCGGCCAAGGGTACGATAAAAATACAAAATCTTATTTTTTAACACGCTGTTCTTTGTATTTTTACATTTAGGGCTACAAATAAGAAAGATTTTCCTTCCGGATTAACTCTTGTGAGCTGAAACTAATACTTTCAATAGTGTCCTATGGTAGTAAAATGTGTACTTCACCAAGCTTGCACCCATTGAATGTTGTTCACATGAGTAAATTTCATTATATCTCATGTTAAATATTGTTCCCTTGACTTTTACACTGGCAAAAACTTATTTGCACCAATATTCAGGTTAGATTCTATTAAAACTCTCCAAGTAGATTCGTTGACGAGCACAAGTGACTGAAGTAGTTTTTTCTGTGAAAGGTCAGGAAATAAAACAGTGGTGTGTTTGTTAATGTTTCTATTTTTGTTCTTTTATCGTATTACCACCTAATGTAGTGATCGCAGGTGGTGGTCGCCACTGTCCAGAGGTCAGCCGTGTGTGTGTGTGTGTGTGTGTGTGTGTGTGTGTGTGTGTGT